AGAGGCACTAGGAGAGAAAAAAAAAAAAAAAAAAAAAAAAAAACCCAGACATCCTCTGTCTCCACAAAGCACACTCCAGAGTAATAGAAGCAGCATCTGATTTACAATAATAGGGGAGGACTTGATTACACCTGTCTCAGTACCGGACAGATCATCTAGGCAACAAACCAACAGAGGAACAGTTAATCTATCAGATGAAGAGAACAAATCTATGGTTATTAGAAAAGGGAGAGGAAGGAGAAAACAGAGTGGGGAAGGGGCATTGAATAAGGGGTATAAAGAAAAAGTATGATTTGGAACAATGAATATGCTAATAAAAATAATTTAAAAAATAAAAATAAAATGTACTACCAAGCCCTCCATGATCTGTTCCCACCCCGTATCTCCGACCTTACCTGCTCAAGCCACATTGATATCCTTGCGGTTACTTCTGCCACTCTGCCCGCAAATAACAGCATGGCTCACTCTCTCACTTCCTTCAGGTCTCTACTCAAATGTCCCCTTATCACAGAAGCTTCACTAACCACCCCAAATAGCAGTCCTTACCCTACCCCGGCTCTTCCTATGTCCTAACCCTTTTTCTCTACACACCACTTACACGTTCATCACCTTTCTCCACTGAGGACAAGGATATTGTTCTGCTTACTGTTCTATTCCCAGCACCTAGTATAGAGTGCCTGATGAGTTGTAGGCACTTGATAAATATTTGTTGGTTGAGTAAATGAATATTCAATGAAATGTGTTAAATAAAGATGCGTGGAAATCAGGATGCTACGCTTCATAACACTAGAGTAAAATCTACATACTCCATGATCCACAAAGTGAATCCATTTTCCAGGATGCATCAGAGAAAAGACACTATTGAATCAAGTAATATCCACAAAACAAAGTCAGATGTTCCAATGAGAAACATTACAATTAAAGTTGGTCCAATCGGTTCTAAGCAGGGTAATTTTTAACTTCAAGATTCACGTTTTGAGGAAGATTTGGTCTGAGACACAATTTACAAGTTATTCCTACAAATCTGGAACGCCTAAACTTTCATTCAAGTTGGATTTCTTCAACAGGTTACTAGGTCAGTGGAATGCTGTCCTTTTCAATCCTTACACCCCCTCCTAACAACTTTGTCTGAAAATAATATGTATCATTCTTCATTCTCTAGTGACTGCTGTGTTAATATACAGCATTAATAACCAGACCACTGGTTTGAAAAGCAAACTAAGGACTTAAAGACTTAAAAACCTGTTTTAATTCAAGTAACATGTCAAGCCCACTTAACATGAACTTGAATTAAGTAGCTCACTACTTAATTACAACTGCTCCACTGCTCTTTAGTAAAAAGGTGAGGCAAAACACCAGTTGTAGAGGTGAGGGTGTGGTGGTGCCCTTACAATAGCAGCCTAAGTGGCCTAGATTAGTGGTTCTCAAAATGTGGTCTGGGGATCCCTGGGAGTCCCTGAGACCCTTTTAGGGAATCTGAGGTCAAAACTATTTTCACGGTACCAGGACATTATTTGCCTTTTTCTCATGCATTCTCCCACAAGTGTGCAATAGAGTTTGCTGGAGGCCACACGATATCCTGAAAGATTGACTGCAGGAGCAGATATGAGAATCTGTCTTCTATTAAGCCAAACATTAAAAATATTTGCAAAAATGTATAACGATGCCACTGTCCTAATATTTTTTGTTTTGGAAAAGCCATTTTTCATTAAAAATGGTGTTTATGTTAGCTTGCAATGGGTTCATTATTTTTGAATAAAGTAATATTTTTAAAATTTCCTAGTTTTAATTTCTAATACGGTAAAAAATTGAGATTAACACACACAATCTCTTTGGGGTCTTGAATTTGTCAGTGTAAAAGGAGACCAAAAAATTTGAAAACTGTTGCCTTAGGTATACAAAATAGTGCACCTTTTGTCACCATTATTAAAAAATATCTGTTACAGCTTCTAGTGCTATGATGGCAAGGCATTTTGCTCCCTTGCTCGTTAAACGCAGGCTTCAGGTATGTTACTAAATCCATTCTAAACTAGTAACTAGCAGGGGACTCCCATTACTTAAGTTCAGGGCTTTTCTAGTAAATACCCTTCCCACCTTTCCCAAGTACAAATCACCTGAAGCCCAGACCCCATCGTCATGAATCAACTGTACTGCCAGTGAGATATTTAATAGTAAAAACTTATTTTGCAATCTTAAGTAAAACAAACTTTCTGTTAACATTGTTAACATGGCTAGACTTTTTCACGGGTATGAAATTTGGTCGGTATGCTTGGGATGTTCTGAATTAAAATTACAGCTATGTAGCATATGCAAAATTCATTTTGGAGCCACCTGAAAAAAAATAGGAATTCATTCTCCAGCTGAAACTGAGGACAGATTTTTTAATCAAACTTTGGAGGGAATTTTGGGATAATTGACCAGAAACATAGGATACAGCATGTACAAAATTTTTTTTGGGGGTTGCCGAGGTGATAAGGCAGTTCAAAGAGATAATAACCATCTAGAATATTTAAAACTGATTATGAGACCGAGATTACAACTGATTGCAAGAAACATACCGTATATAAAAATGCCAGAGAAGACACACACTAGTTTCATATATTACACCTCCTGCCTCTGAAGCAGCCCATTGCAAGCTGCTTCTTGAGAAACTCCATGTAACATGCTTTGGGATAAAGAGCACAAGCAGAGTTTATTTAGTGATGGTTAATGACTCTCTCAAACAATATAGAGCAGGCCAGCTAGTTTATTCAAATTTAATCTAAACCTTAGATCTCTGGCTTAACAATAACATAAGAAACCTTTAAAGACACAATAAATCCTGTGTTAAATCAGAGATGATTTAAATCAGTCTTATAACTTCTAATATTCTGGCTGGCAACTACAGTATGACAAATGTTCAGTCCAGTTACAAAACTACATTTGATTTTCCTTGGCTACCACATCTTTAACAGATCTGAAAAATGGACTGTTTTACAAAGGCTTTTACCTATACCCAAGTAACTATGCTTTCTTCATCCCCCAGGAACAATTCTAAATGAGAGGAATTTTTCTTCAATCTGCTTGCCTTGATGGGTGTTTAAGAACTCAGAGATTAAGTTTAAAGAACGAAGATTAACTGATATGCCAAGAAAAGTTTTTATTGCAAGCACAGTGAGCAGAAAGAGATGTCTTCTCACATGAAGTGGCCATAAGGTCTGTCATTAACTAAATCTCTTTGACAACCCTTCATTGGTTTATAGCATACAAATTAGCTTCTTGCTATCAGGTGTACATCATTTCTGCCATGTGAGACATTTTCTTGGGAATATACAAGTAATACTCCATGTAGCCTGATAGGTCCTCAATGGTCACATCATCCACATAGACTCGAGCTTGCTCAGAGCAGGAGCGAGGAGAGCCAGACAGAGTTCTGGTGTGCAGCGACTGAGAGTAGTCCTCAAGCGTGGATCTTCGTTCTGGGCCCAAGGGAGGGACATTCTGCAGGCCTGAAAAGGAATACACTTCCATATCATGCCATCTCTTACACTGGCACTCCTTGCCTATGCATGCACATGGCTTGCCCTGGTTTAGCTTGGAAACAGATTGAAAGTCAGAGAGATCACTGCCCTTGAGACTTGCTTGGGAGACTTGGGTAGTGTCAGAGGAGTCTTCCTTCTTACTCTCTGATGGGAGCCTTGGAACTGAAGTTCTCAAAGGCTCAATGACTACCCCTGTGTGGTTACCATCAAGAGAAGCACAGCTTTCTCCTCCACTGAACTCCTTAGGTGCTGAAATTCCCAGCCCACTGCTGCCATCAGGGGAGTCAGTCTGGCTTTTGTGCTTGAGCTGGCTGCTGGAAGAAGATGCTATTGTACTGCAATGTATAAATTTTGGAGGATGAAGGACAGGAGACTTAGAACGCCGGCGACGCTGGGTTCTCACTGCTCCTCGTGAAGACTTCCTTGTAGACCTAACAGGAAAAAAATATACAAGAAGATGTCCAGATACAGAACCCTCCTAAGCAGATTCTTTATGATAGTTGGAAATTTACCTCCTCTCAGGTTTATTAGTCTGGGGCCATAAATTTCCCCCAAAGAGATGTGCCTGCTTCCATTTTCAAGCTAAATTTTTGTGTCTCAAAAACTTCACCATCTCCTTATTAACAAGCTACAGAAATAGGTGAGGTAAGGGAAGTTTTTAACGGAATCACTTGGGCCAAACATTTGGTACAGAACACCTGCCCTGTCCCAACTGCAGCCTTGGTAACCTTTAACCAGTGGATCTAGGAGAAGCTCCCTAAGCAGACAACTTAAGCCTAAATGTAGTGCTCTAAGCCTGAATATACCAGTGTCAGTACAACTTTGAGATTAATGCTACAAATGACCATTATGCCATTATTATTAAATACAGCAGCAGATTTATGACCATTTCTATCATTGGTAATAGCCAACGAAAAACAAACAGACTTAGACTATCCAAGGTTTTCAGACACTGGGAATTAATCAGACATACTATACAAGATAACTACTTATGAAATGTTTAAATAAATATAATAACTGAGCAAAGAAAAAGGAGACTCAAAACTGCCAAGCAAATTAGAAAAAAAGAACCAAATAGAACTTAAAGAAATAAAAACTTTTTTATTTGGAATTAAACTAAACTGATGGCCTAAATAGCAGAACACATACAGCTAAAGAAAGAATTACTGAACTAGAAAATAAATCTGATTACTCATAACAGGGGTCAGCAAATTACAACCTGTGGGTCAAACATGGGTCCCTGCCTGTTTTTGTATAGCCTACAGACACTGCTCTAGTGGGCTAGTACCGTGAGCCATGGAGATCAGGCTGGGTTCCTCACCTCTGCCAGTGCTCTCTCCTCTTGTTTCCCCACCTGCCTCTCTAGCCAGTGGATACATCACACCACTGTCCAGGGCCCACACTGGCTACCATCTACATGCTGGGTCTCTGTTGCTGGCAACTTCGGGTACTATGAGGCAGAATCTCAGTTTAAGACTGATCAATGCCAGGATATCTGGAGGGCAGAAGGCCATGCTGAGATCTGGGTGTCACTGGGACAGACAATAAAAGTTACCCTGGTGCTGCCCCTGACCCACCCCTTGCACCAGGCCCTCCCCCACCTCAGGTTTGTCATTTCATCCTGAGACTGTCTTAGAAACTGAACACAAAGTGTATCCACCAGCCAGGATGGACTACCCCAAGCAAAACAGAGCAGAGCAGGGCAGAAGTTTTCTCTCTTATCTAAGTACCTACATAATATCCTTGGATTGTGCCTCAGCCTCTAAAGCCTAAAATATTCATTAAGTGGCACTTTACCAAAAAATTTGCCAATCCCTGACCTAAAAGGAAATACAGAGATAAGGATTTGGAAAAAATATAAGAGAAATTAAGAGAGATGGAAGACAGACTAAGTCTGAAGTGTATGAAGGAAGGAATAAAGAGAATGGAGGACAAGTGATTTTGAAGAAATAATGGCTGAGAAATTTTCTGAATTGATGAAAGAAGAGAATCTTAAGATGCAGGAAGCACACAGGAGCAAGTTAAAAAAGAAATCCACACCTAGACACACTGTAGCAAAACTGTAGAACAGCATAAACAACAGGAAGATTTTAAAAGCAGCTGGAGACTAGACAGACTATTTTCAAAAGAACAGCAATTAGACTAAAAGTAGGCTTTTCAATATCAACACAATGAAGCCAAAAGACATTGAATGGTAACTTCAAGTGCTAAGAAATAATTGTCAGCCTGGAAATATGCTTTCAGGTATATCAAATCTATCTGTCCAGCAATTAGACTAAAAGTAGGCTTTTCAATATCAACACAATGAAGCCAAAAGACATTGAATAGTAACTTCAAGTGCTAAGAAATAATTGTCAGCCTGGAAATATGCTTTCAGGTATATCAAATCTATCTGTCAAAAAAAAAGGATGAAATAAAGACATTTTCAGATAAATCAAAACAAGGCATATTTACCAACAGGACATGATATTATATAACTCCAGGGGGCACCATTCAAATGTATTACTATGTGGAGTTATACAATGCAAAGGCCCTACTCACAAATAACATTTACTAAAGGAACAATTTTAAGAAAGAAAGCGACCCTATATGGAAGGTATAAGATACAAGAATGGTGAGCAAAGAAATTAGGAAATTATAAACATGTAGATAAATCTAAACAAACACTGTCTGCTTAAATAATAACAAAACTTCATTTGTGAGATTAAAAAGAAGTGACAGAACAAAAACACTGGGCAACTACATTACAAAAATCAGGAAGTCAGAGTAAAAGGGTTCTAAGAAGGTTTAAAATATTAACTTTTGTCTTTGTTAAAAGCATGCATGGTGAAATTCTAAGGCTAACTACTAAAAGAATAGAAACAAATTATACAATGTCCAAACCAGTAGATGGAGAAATGTAGGGGGAAAAAACAAATAAAATCCTTTCAATTTTTCAAAAGATGGGGAGAAGAGGGAAGGTGGGAAGAAAAGAGAAAAAGAAAGCCATAGAAAAAAAGCAGGACAAATAACAAAGTAAAATGGCAGAGGCAAGACCAAACACATCAATAATCAAAGTAAATGTAAATGCACTGAACTGAGCAGTTAAAAAAAATCGAACTGAATGAACAAAACAGAACAAAATAAAATCTAGCCATATGCTATTTATATGAGACACACCTAAAATTTAAAAATGCAGAAGCATTGAAAGGATGGAAAAAGACATAACAGGCAAACACTTTAACTAAAAGAAAATGGATTACCTGTAGTAATTCCAGACAAAGTAGACTTTAAGACAAAAGACATTATGAGGAAATAAGAATGTCACTATATATAATAAAAGTTTCAATTCACCAGGCAGAAAACATTCTAAATTTGAATGAACCTAGGCTATTTGAACCTAACAAAATAACCCCAAAATACATAAAGCAAAAACAGAGAACTTAAAGGAAAAATAGTCAAATTCACCCCCATGGGAGATTTCAACATACCTCTCAATTATCAATAGGTCAAGCTGACAAAAAATTTTTAAAAAGATTCAAATAACACATTAGCCTGATTTGATGAACACGACCCAAAAACAACTAAGATCCATTCTTCTCAAACACACATGGAACATTTATAAAAACTGACTATGAACCAGGCCATACACAGAGTCTCAGCAAACTCACAAGTGAGAAGAATGAGTCCTTCTGTTATCATTAGGTCTTGGGTTTTATATTATAATCTACTCTTTTCTGGATACTCAAGAAAGAAAATCCAATAATATTTTAAGGTATTGGGATAAAAATCATCTCAATAAGAAGCTCTTACCCATGCCAACTGTCTTTAGATGCACATGTGGTTTTAGGTTTGGTATCATCTGCTGCTGCTCTGACCGATGCTCTGACACTTGTGCCTTCTCCAACAGACAGAGATGCTATGGACCTGAAGACAAAGAACAAAGTTTACTGCTATAGAAAACTGTAAAATGAGGGTAACGTATTGCTCTCACCAACCCCAATACAACTTTTATCAATACCTTTATTTTCTTTCTAGTTTGGGTTTCTCAAAAATTACTCAGCATTTAGTATAAATTTTTCTCCAAAATCAAATTTAGAGTATCCCTAAAAACCTACGGTTGCATAATCATAAGCCAAACAATAATTCTTAAGTATAACCAGCAACAAGATGTTAACAGACTTTTAAGCTGTTTCCCTGAGGCAGATCAGGCCTTATGTCCAGAGAAAATGCTAATGACACTCATCACTTATTTTATGCAGGCAAACCAGAGCTGTGGGAACTAAGTTTAGGAGCAAAAACTTTAGGAGACTCAATCTAACTTGAAAATGAATACGTTTTCAAATATTATACAACTTTTAGAAAAATATTCTAATTTTTGCAACTAATAAACTTGAAATATTACTAAGTTAAATCTTTGTGCTTAAAATTATACTGGTAATGAGGGCTCACAGTAAAGAACATGAAAATTTTTTTTTTTTTTTTTTTGTCTTTTGTCTTTTTTCCGTGTCCGGCAACGGATCGCAACCCTCAGTGTTGCCCCCGTACCGGACCGGGGACCGGCAACGGGATCGCAAGCCTCGGTGTTGCTCCCGCGCCTCGCTCAGCCAGTGAGCGGGAGCCGGTCTGTATGTGGGATCCGAACCCTCGGACGGGAGCGCCGCCGCGCTTCCCAAGCGGCGCACTATCCAGTGCGCCACCGGGCCGGCCCAGAACATGAAAAATTTTTTAAGAGAAAAAAAGAGAATCATCTATAATCTCAGAACACAAAGATTAGCAAAATTAACATTTTCGTGTAAATACTGCCAGACCTTTTCGATACACATACACACATCTACTATACATACCACAGTATTGACAAAAATCCTTTAGAAAGAAACTAAGGTGAAAAGATGGTCACTGACACATAATTTAAAAACTGGGAATAACCTAAACATCCAACAATAGAAAAATACTACATTATATAAATTATGACACATCCATACAATGAAATACCAGGAATTTATTAAAAATTAAGTGTTCAGAGCATGGTGCTGATAACACCAAGATCCAGGGTTCAATCCCTGTATCAGCCAGCTGCCCCCCAACCACCTCAAAAAAAGTGTTCAAAGAAGTTTTAAAGACAAGGGAGAATGCTTATAATATTAGGAAAAAACAGCATGGATAAACATACGTACATTACAATCTCAACTATGTAGAAAAAAAGAAGTGTATGACATTATGTACAGATGATCTAGATGTTAACAGTGGTTATGAAAAATTATGATTTTTACTTCCTTTTTTATTTCTGTGAATTTTTCTATAAAAAGCACATATTATTTTACAGTCAGATAAATAGAATTAAGTATATAAAGATTTGTCTTGGTAAGACAAATACCAGTAGAAATCAAAACCTGCTGAACAGGATCATGCTCAATTCCTGGCAAGGCTTGGTCAGTTTATGAGTCAGTCCCTCAGATGTCCCATTTGTAAATTAGCAACAATATGAAACAACGAGAAATTTAAGATACATTACACAAGTCTCATTCTGCTAAGTCATGCTAATGACTCACCCCTTCAACTCTTAATTTGGTTTTCTCAAACGTTCTCCACTGTTTTTCATCTTCCTATAATTTTACTCAAGGCAGATCACATGCTACAACTATGTATTTTAAACCATATTGTATGGATACTTTGAAAGATTTTTTATTATGTTGCAAGTAATTTTTAGGGGCACCAAAATGGCTTGATTTTATATTCCAATTTCTTAAAACATCAGTAAAGAAGTCTATCAAGAGTTACAAATGTAAGTTTACACACCAAGGGATTTGTAAATGTGTGTTTGCATTCCTAGTATTTTCCGTATTTTAAAAACATTATTTCTATGCTAGAAATAACAAAGGAATACACTGTGACCACAATCTGGAACTATCTGTTTCTCTGCTTTGGTTCCATTTCCCAAAACGGCTTATCAAAGTACTGATATGAAATGGCAAGATGACCATATTGGAAAAACCACTGGATAGTAGGATACTTTTTTAAAGCATCATGGAACTAAATGTGAATGTGAGCACCTGTTAACATTTACTGTGCAAATCTATTAGCATAAATCTTCTCATTTGATAGGCCAAAAATAGTACTAGCAATAGGCAGACAGCTATAACAACAATAAACATCTATTTAATTTTTACTTTGTGCTGGGTACTGCATGCATTCCCTCAGATTGTCTTCAAGGTGCCATATAAAGGAATAATTTAAGAGAGCACAGGTTCTAGAGATAGACTGCCTGGGTTCAAATCCTGCCTCTGTCACTTCTTACCAATGTGACCTTTAGCAAGTGACTTAATTTTATGAGTCTCATTTGTAAACTGAAATGACAGTAGTATCTATCTTCTAAAGGGGTAGTGAGGATTAAATAATGTGCATGAAGTACTTAACCCAGCACTGAGGGCATAGTAAGTAATAAATGTTACCAATTATTATTATGACTTGTTGTGGAGTGTTCTACTCTAATCTTCCAGTGTTTGGTTTCCATTTATGAAAAGAAAAATTCTATAATTCTTATATCCGTTAGAATTTTGAGATTTCTTCTGGTCTGGGGCAAAGAATTAGGGTGAGAGGAGTCTTGCACAGAACATTTTGCAAAGGACGAAATATTAACATTCAGACAGCAGCTGGTGTGCAGGTGCTCTAATTAATTTAGCCAAAGGGTCTGAGATTATTGATCTCAGTGACAGAACCCTACTGAATAGAGGTTTCCATAGTGATAGACTCAGCAATCAGAAACCATGAAATTGACAATGTCTTCATAGACTTCTATTGAGCCAATTCACTTCTAGTGAAAAATACTGTGATTCCCTGGAGATGTATGAGAAAATCCCTGATGAGACACTGCTTGATAATCTTTGATTAAAAAGAAAAAGGGGAGGAACCCACCTCAAAGTTAAGAAAAAACAAAGCACTGAACCACGGCGTACAAATGAGTTGCTGCTTTTCAAATGCAACAGACGGGTTTCCTTTTAAAGTAAAACAATACTATGCAGAATTTGGAGGAATATCACACTATTAGTATTTATATCTTCTACGAACAATGAGAAATATTAAAAGAGAAAGAGCTCTTTAGAGGAAAAGGACTATTTAAATGTAGTAAACAAACAATCCAAATAATATATTATACATTTAATTACCCTGATGCATCCACTCTTAATTTCTTGAAAGCTGTTTGTAGACTCTCCTCCTCTCCATCCTTGGCTTCAGATTTCATTGTGTAAATTTTTACACTACTATGGATGTTCCCGTTAATACTAAAAGAAAAAGAAAATGAAGATGAGCAAAGTGAAAGAGTTGGGATCAAAAATATACCTTTTGTTAAAAATCTATATTCCTGATACCATCACTGCTGGGAGGGAAAAAAAAGTTTTTATTTCTAAATGGAAGTTTCAGTGTAGATGATTAGGAGACTGTAGATTTTATTTCTTAAGAAGAAAAAAGTAAAATGATACAGAAAATATGTATGTATTATGACAGAATTTAAGCTGTCCAAATACTTGATGCCTATATCCTATTACAGTTTGGGAAACTAGATCACCTGAAATCTATGTTTCAGCATATTTTTTAACAGAAGGAAAATCTTCCCAGTTGTAGAGGTTTAGAAATCCTACAAACAAAATGACCTTTTCATCAGAAACAAAAGGGAAAAGCTCAAACTACAGCACTGATTCTTTAAAATGCTACTGAGCATCTGTCTAGTCTTACCCTAACAATTCCAGTTAAGTATAACTTCATGACTCATGACGGCATTTCTCTAAAGCAATCCTGAACCAGATATCAACATTCATGAATACATGTTTTCAAGAACAAGATGTTTACCGCTGTTACAGCAGGATTAAAAATTTATTTCAATGATTACTGCTTATTCCACATTCTACCTATAAGATTGATACCTTCATTTGGGTTTCTTCATAGCTTTGAATACTGTGATTATTAAACAAGAAAAAAAAGTGAACTGTAGTTGCAACTCACAAAAAGGTAATGAACAGAACAGTACTTTTCTGTAGCCAAAAGAGGCAGGAAGTAAAGAAAAAATAAATTATTGTCCTGTAGATGTACCTTCAAATGATTTCCTCTTAATCACTAAGTTTGAGTAACCAAGTTCTCCATCTCTTCCACCCCTATTTTTATATTTAAACAAAGAAAAGGGGATGAAGGACCAACCAAAGCAACAAGAAACACAACAGAGAAGTCTGTTAGCTTAATCACTAAGTTTGAGTAACCAAGTTCTCCATCTCTTCCACCCCTATTTTTATATTTAAGCAAAGAAAAGGGGATGAAGGACCAACCAAAGCAACAAGAAACACAACAGAGAAGTCTGTTAGTAAACTCTTGAATCTAGTCTCCAAATTATTTTTTCACTCAGGGTAAAAAAACTAGTATCAAATCCTGAACAAAAAATAAGCAAACCAGTGTCTATGAACATATCAAAGGGAATCAGAAAGAAAAGAAAAAAATAGAGAATTTTTGAAGCAAAAGATTCACGTCACCTCTATTTCTAAGCTGTTATCCCCAACCCCATCCCCCCCCCCCCAAGCACTCTCAGAGGGAGCAGTGCCTCTCTATGGACTCTTGGGTCCTCTCTGATTCCATATCTGCTTATTTCTCAGGGGTGGGTTTGATGTTATTGTGAGACCTCTAATATTCCAAAGGTCAAGGTGTCATAATATGTTTGATACAATGTAACCAGGTAGAACAAGTAGCAGAATATAGCAGCAAATAATCAAGATATTTTGCTTCATTTATTTACGTGTAGAAGTTAAGGTATTTTAGGCAAATCTCTCTGGGGAGCATTAAAAACAAACTTAAAAGAATTCAACTAGCTTTCACTTCAACTTCTTAAGACAAAAAATTTAAATACACTATCCGCACATATTTTGCTAGTTTATTTAACCAATACATGAACATGAGGAAACATTATCCATACAATTCCATGTTTCACTGGTCTCTAATTCTCAATTTGGAGTAGGCTCCCCTCAATACACAATAATGCCCTATACACCTGGGGGGAGGGAATAAGCAAAGATCACACGTTCTAATATTTTTGAAGCTCCACAGCATCTGAAGGGGTGTTATCATAGGTTGTAAACAAACTCTTCTTGCTGGCAGAACTAAATTAACATTTGACTTGTAGTTGACCAGTCAGCCAAACACTCAGTTTATGGACCCTTATAGAGTTGAGCCAGGCTCCCCCACCCCGCAGATCCCACACAAATCCTCTTTGGACCTCTCTGGAAATCAGTCAACACTTAAGTACACATCACATCCAAGTATACATTGCTGAATCCTATAGGCAGAAATTAATTCCTTCCACAAATATTTACAGAATTCTCTACCATGTGCCTAGTACTAGACTGGATGCTATGGATAAAAAGGTAAAACTGATACAAAAAAGGCCTGTGAACACTATTTCTATAAGGACTGGAATCGGACTGGAATCTTATTCCTACCCTCCAGGAGCTTACAATGTAACACTGTGCTAAGAAGCTCTGCACCCAGATATGTAACTTTTAATATACATTGGTGACTTAATAGCATAGATAACCACGCTAGATGTTAATACAAACTCAGTTAACATTCTTGTTGACATACTAAAAGATAAATCACCTAAAACCCAAAACAGACCAAAATAAAAATCTACCTACAGATTAAAACTTCAAGAGTGAAGTGCTGTCAAAACTATTTTTAGATTTCTAGTATTTTGATTGCTCACCTTTTTCTCAGATATTTTAACCCAGAGCAAAAGGGAGTCTTAGGGGTGACTTTAAGAGCTAGATCAGAGCATGTTTGTAATTACAAAAGGCTTATTATACTCCTCTGTAGTCCCAGCTTCCCATTCACTCAAACCAAGAGTTGTACTACTAACTCCAGACAACAGATATAACTGATCTGCCCGTCTTCATTAAGACTAAATTTGTGGGAAACATTCTTGCTGTTTTCATGGCAGTGACTTCTAGAAGTTGAACATTCCCCAAAGTGATCAAACTTTTACAGGCCTATTAGAAATTACTTCGTATTGTTTTAAGTTAAATCGCACCGGGCAATTTAACTCTGCCTTGGATTTTCCCCAATCTTTCAAAAATGAAAAGTTCTTCTAAAGTTCCTCCAACAAAAGGGCAAATTCCTGGTTTTCTCTGACTTTCAACAAATAGTATGTGTCACAATCTTATTTATATCTTGTCGTTTTAGCCAAGACCTCCTTGAATCTCAAGCCTAGGGCCACATTTTCAGGACCCTCAAAAGACTTGAGAACGATCGATAAAAGATCAGCACATAAGAGTATCATCACAATGTTAAAGAATTCTAAACTTTCCCAGACCACCAGGAAAAGCGGAGTCTGGGGAGGAAAACCCTGTCCAGCAACTCTCGAAGAGCCAAACAAGACCAGGTTGAAACAATCGGCCCCCAAGACAAAAACACATTCACACCTCTCTGCACACCCACTCAACCCCTACACTCGCAGTACTACCGCCAAATCACGACATTAATTATTTTCACCCAGAATCTGGCCTGTTGCGGTGAAACAAGATCAGGGGGAAAGAGCTGGAGGTCTCGGAGCCGAGCGGGGAGCTGTCCAAGGCCCTGACTCTGTCCGCCCGGGGTCCCTAGCGAGACAGTTGGCCCCCTCAAGAGACTCCCCGGGCCAGAACAAGAGACTGGAAGAGGGTCGAAGCGCAAGGGATGCGGGAGGAGACCGGAGCGGGGCCCAAGACGCACCCAACGAGAATAGAGCTTATAGAAAAACGGGAAAGGGCGGGAAGGGGCAAAGGGCGGCCGAAGAGGCCGAAAAGGAGAAGCTACGGCTGGGCGGGCGACGGCGGAGGGGAAGGGCGGGGGCCACGGGAGAACAGGAAGGCGGGAAGGGGCGAGAGAGCGGAGCTCGGGTAGGTCCACGACGCGGCGGATGAAGGGGTGCGGAGAGGCCCAGGCCCGGCCCAGGCAGTCGGCGCCGGGAGACAACTCGACGAGAAGAGGGCGGGCCCAGGGGAAGCCGCCCGCGGAACAGTCAGGCCTGGAGATCTAGACGCTGCGCCGCGACCCTCCCCGTCACGTCAGGGGACTTACCTTCTCGCAGAGGGGCGGTTCGGTAATCGGCCCCTTCAGTTCAGAACGCCTCTCCGCGACCGCGGCGCCCGACTGACCCGGATCCAAACCCGCGGAGTGGGCGGCCCAAGGCTCCGGAGTCGTACTGCGCCTGCGTCACTCAGGCATATGCCCCGCCCCCTGATCATGCTCCTCCCACTCCCGTGACTCGGCACGCGGCGGGCGGTGGCTGCGCAGGCGGGGAGCGGCGGCCGCGTTTCTCAAACGCCCCGCACCCGCCCCTCTGGGAAGCACGTGCGCCTTACGTCATTTCCTGTTATTCTTTTCGCTGCCTCCTCCCTCTGGCGTGTGTTCGCTCGGGACAGGCTTTTGGGCGTGCCTGCTTCCTCTTCTCTGTCAGGAGAGTGAGAGGAGTTATTCTTCAATGTCGCCAAGCCGCTTTCACATGCTCGGGGTCTCCTTGTTCTTTAGTCCTCTAACAGGAGTCACTTAGAAGACGGAAGTCCTCGAGATGAGGGCAGGGTGCAGGAGTCTTCAGGACAACCGAGCTCTGTCTGAGCGCTTGGCTTGAGTCTCCATGATGCTAGGATCTGGACCGCCTGCGACATCTCCTGGGCTTGGACACCAACCCTCACCTTCTGGGGATCTTTCAGTGCCTGCAAAGAAGCGAAGAGGTATTGGATATGACCAGGGCCATGAATGTGAGGCCAGAATTGGAACTGAAATGCCTTCGCTTTTAATGTCTCTGCTTTTGACTTGAGGCAACTGTTTTTCCCCTCTCTGGGCCTTAGTTTCTCCATCTGTTAAGTGAGGAATTTGGACTGTATCAGCGAATCTCCTTTTTTCAGATTCTGAGAATCTGGTGAGAACTATAGTCCCTCTCACCAGAGAAATGCACATACTCTATTTTGCAAGAAAGTTTTAGGCAGTACACCTAAGTAGGTGATTTTATGGATCTTCCCATGTTTATGAGTCTGAGGGTTGCTCAGATAGCAGTCAGGGAAGCCGTGATCTGGGCAACAGCTGCCACCTCCCCCATCACCAGGACTGGTTCTGCTGATCTAGCTGTGCCTGTCCTCGCCGGACACTCCTCAGCTCCACTTGTACACTTCTCAGAGCTTGGTGGGAAAAGATGGCTTTCCTCAATAGAATTGGTTCTGACCCAGACCTAGAGTGAGGGTTTTTCCTGAACCAAAACTGCCTCGTCCCACCCCCATTCCCCAATACCTTAAGTGTAGTCACCCAACGGGGTAGGCTGCTGAGCATAGATTAGCCACACCTAGCTTAACTACAGCCAAGCCTTGGAATGCCTGGACCATGTCTGGGAATGAAATCTGTGGTTCATTGTTTAAGTTTGTTAAACATAAAGCGTGTAGTGGGCCCTGGCTAAAACATTTAAAATTTTCCGTGTTCCTACTAGAGGCTCAATAACTGAAAAGGGATGAAAGAAAACTGTTAGTTATAACTTAATGATGCTAACAATAATGGATGCCTTCTACTGAGCAGCAGTTATGTATTTATTCTTATTTAATATTCCTGTGACTTTACACATTCTACGGATGAGGAGGACTGGGACTTAGTGAGATTAGATAACTTGTTCTAGCTCCCCTTGTCCTGTGTCACACAATGCTAGTAAATCAGGATTTAAACTGTCTGGAAAGCCTGTTCATCCACAGCTGCTCTTCTCAACATCTCTTGGAAAAGAAGAGAGGACAGTATGATGCATTTTTTCTCAGAGTTGGCAAATGACTAAACGTGTTTTTACACTGCCATTTTAAAATATAGTTTCAGATAAAATGTCATACATCCTTGAGGGCTTAGGACTGTCTCTAGATCACTACTGAGTTCCCAGAGCTTTGCTCAATACAATTTTTGGTGAATTCTCATTTTACTTTATTTCTGCCCATTATGACATTAAATACTAAAAACTAAAAAGTTAAAGTGTTTCATTTTATGTAAGCACATCTCCATCATCAAGTTAGATGCTTTCTGTAAATGTGACTTATTACTCAGTGAATACTTGGAAGAGTTGGGAATACTGAAGTCTGTTGACTCACACACCTAACATGGTCTGAAGTTTCAGGTCATTATATATAGCATTGGCTCACCATGTGGTACATCATGACTTGGAATGAGATGGAGAAGCTACAAAACATGTAATCCAAGCGAACTAAAAGCCAGATCTACCTCCTGCACCAGCAACACAGGGTATTTTTAGCTGTGGAAAAAACCCTGAACGTATGTGTAGACTTTACATTCAGGAAAATAACCTGGTATTAACTTAATGCACATAGTAATGTCATTTAATTAAAAATCTATGGTAGGTATAAAATTCCTGTAACAGTGCTTCCTTCTTGTTATGGTTGTTTTACTAGTGATTGAATAGGGGAGACTTAATTCCATCAAATTATACTGCAAAAACTGTATAGGAAGATAACCTGTTATTTTATAAAATAACTTTGGAAAAGGCAAGTTCAGAGTCTTCAAAGTCTTTAAAAAATTGGGCTGGCCGGTTAGCTCAGTTGGTTAGAGCACAGCCTTATGACACCAGGGTCATGGGTTTGGATCCCCATATGGGCCAGCCACCAAAACAAACAAAAACAAAAAAATCTTTAAAAAAGATTAATCCCCTAACGATATGGATGCCATCCTACCAGTTGGTAATCTGGAAAAGTAGTAGTATGTTTTAAGAGTCAAATTAATTTATTCCTTACCTTGATATAATTTTTTAACTTTGGGTGAAGGTAGTGATAGTAATGATCATTTGCGTTTTGATTTACAAGTGTTATTTGATCTTCATAAGCAAATTGTGAAACAGGTACTTTTATTATGTCCATTTTACAGCTGAGGAAAGTAAGTTTCAAAGTAGTTAGGTAACTGTCCAAGGTTACAGAGCTTGTAAATGGCAAAATAGGGATTCAAATCTAGGCAGTCTGACTCTACACCCACCCTCATCATCACTGATTTACACTGCTTTTCTTAGCTTCCTCACCCCTAACCCCATTCATACCCAACTAGACCAGGGATACCTTTCACCTTGGAAATACCATTGGACTTGAGGAAATTGACAGCCCAGGGTCTAGGACTGTGTTCCAGCTATACTTGCCTTGCATGTCCTTGAACCCACCAGCCGTATTTCCCTCTCAAGTCTTTTTTATTTGCTATTTCCTCTGCTGGAACAATTTACTTACAATTTGTCTCTTAATTCAAGTCTCTGCTCATATCAGTTCCCCAGAGAGGCCTTCCTTGGCTACCCGAGAAATCCCCTTCACTCTGTATCCCGTTACCCTGCTTTATTTTTTGTTATAGCACTTATCACTACCTGACAATGTTTATTTATTATCAGGTCCCCTCACTACAATAGAAGCTACCTGAGAACAGAGACTTTGTCTCTTTTCTTTATCACTGCTTTTAAAAATTGGATCCAAGGATCCCTGTATCGACCAGCCACCAAAAAAAAAAAAAAGTAGGATCTAAGGTGCACATTTTCCCACAATTTAGCACTCTCGAGGTCTATATTTGTCTTATAATTGGTAGTGTGTCCTGGTTTAGTTGGTAGTATACTTCCTGTCTTAATTATACTACAGTAAATGTTGAGTCTTTAAAATGACAGTGTCTTTGAGTTGATGAAAATATAGAATATTCCCAGGGCCTCTACTCTTGTGTGGCACACTCAGTAATTACTTGTCAGAGGAAGGCACTGAATGTTCACTATGTGCCAGAAGCTATTTAAACATCTTTAATCTTGGCAATTACCCTGTTATGAAATACTTCCTGTTACCAAGGCAGTATGGTGGTGAGAATTAAATGTGTGTTGAATAATGTGTGTTTACCATTTTGGAAGGCTGGAAGAGTGGAGAGAGCTGCGTCCGCTCTTGTGCTGTGGGACTGCGGCATGTCAGGTGACCTCTTGTGTACTCAGTCCCACTCGCTCTTTCCACAGACCTGAGCGAATGCCGCTGGTTGCCCAGTGCTGTGCTGAAGCCTTTGAGAAGCTTGGGGACTAGTTGGAGAGCCAGAGAATCAGCAGAAGCACAGGATGCTGTGTGGGCACCCAGAGGGTTGCCTAGCCCACTCTGGAGGTGCAGGGTGGTCTCAGAGAAGGCTTCCTGGAGGAGGTTTTGAAAGACAGGCATTGCCTGGGCAGTGGGAAGGGATGATATGAGACTGGAGAGAAAAGCCAGGCCAACTCAAAGAGGCAGTTATGTTAAAGAGCTTGTATTTTGTCCTGAAGGACATGAATGATTTTAAGCAAAATGGTGATTTGCCAGTTAGTTTATGTCACTCTGCCAGCTTCTTAGAAAGTAGATGAGGGGAGGGAGGTGAATATAAGAGAGGCCACTTAGGAGACACTGGAATTCATCT